ATAATAATAATAATAATAATTATTATTATTGTTATTACAAGAAGCTCTGTCACTTACCGGTGATATACAGAGAGGTCCTTTTCTAAATATATCATAAGTCACAAGATTAAAGGAATAAAATATGTTCTAAAACTAAACTAATACGGAGTTTTCTTGGTAAAATAATTGCTCTTTTCACGGTAGGCACAGAGGAAACCAAAAGGTGACTGTGTGAAAAACGTCCTGCGTTTTTATTCCGTAATACCGAAACTCTGCACCAGATAGAAATTCTAATTCTCTAAAAATTCTATGTTTTTAGTTTCTTAAGACTTTGGCATTTTTGGCGACTGAGAAAATGACGTCATGAATTAAGGGTCGAATTTTGGCCTTTAGTAATATAGGGCATGACTATTTGAAAGACTTTTTCACCAGGATCTCAAAACGAAGAAAAAATTGATATGTCTATCTACTAAAAAGATGTGACGTTTTGAAATTTTCATTTTACGAGATGAACCACAAGAACATGGTTTACCACGTGACCAAGAAATCCAATAAAGCAAGAGACGAGAAAAGCTTGTCAAAGCAATATGTTCGATTCTTTCGATTCCCACAAAAAGGTAAACGAATATATAAAGAGGAAAGTGAACTGACGGTTTCCTTTCAATGTGTCAATATCCAACAATAAATTCAAAAAACAGATGAAAGCACGTTTTTCGGATATAAGCGCAAGATCAGCGAAAAAAACGTGTTCGTGAAAGAACTTAGAAAAGATCAGGACATAAATTCCATGCCATAAAATTGCTTTCTCTTTCCACCGAGAGCGAAACAAAGAAAGAAGAAACGTAATAGTCGACTGAATATTTTGATTTAAATCAACGTTTATTTTTAATTAACAAGAGCTTTGTCGTCAACATTTGGATTGCTTTTCTAATCATAAAGCATGAATTATAAAGGTTGGTAACTCAGGAAGTCTCTTGGTAACCATGTCATGAAATGAAAGTTCATGATATCGTATCGAATTTAAATGTATTAAAATGCAGCTATTTGGACCAGTGTTTGTTGTTAATTCAAATTTAGATTTTTGAGCGTATGTATCCTTAAGCTTAGCCCCAACATTACTCAGTGGCTCAGTTTTAATAGATTAATTATGATACTTTCCTTGGCTCTTTTGTCGTATGTTTGTTGCGGTNGAGGAAAGTGAACAGACGGTTTCCTTTCAATGTGTCAATAAATATCCAACAATAAATTCAAAAAACAGATGAAAGCACGTTTTTCGGATATAAGCGCGAGATCAGCGAAAAAAACGTGTTCGTGAAAGAACTTAGAAAAGATCAAGACATAAATTCCATGCCAGTAAAATTGCTTTCTCTTTCCACCGAGAGCGAAACAAAAAAAGAAGAAACGTAATAGTCGACTGAATATTTTGATTTTAATCAACGTTTATTTTTAATTAACAAGAGCTTTGTCGTCAACATTTGCATTGCTTTCCTAATCTTAAAGTATGAATTATAAAAGTTGGTAACTCAGGAACACTCTTGGTAACCATGTCACGAAATCAAAGTTAGTGATACCGTCTCGAAATTAAAATGAATTAAAATGTAGTTATTTGGACCAGTGTTTGCTGTTAATTCAAATTTAGATTTTTGAGCGTATGTATCCTTAAACTTAGCCCCAACATTAGTCAGTGGCTCAGTTTTAATAGATTAATTATGATACTTTCCTTGGCTCTTTTGTCGTATGTTTGTTGCGGTACGGAAGAAGACTGTCAGTTGTCGATTAACGAATTTCAAGTTAGTTATAATGAAAAGACCTACCAGTCATAAAGGATAAATATAGCAAGAGACACTACTGGGGTTTGTGTACACTTTATCTTGAATTCCATTCAGTTCTCGTTAATAAAAAGTAAACTCGAAACAAGCT